ACAGCAGGGAGCATTTGCAGTCACACTGACCTCCACTGAAACCTTGGCTGTCTGTCACCAATTGTGTCACCTTAGACCAGTTTCTTTATTTTTCCCAACCTCTGTTTCTGCATTTGCAAAATAGGGATGATATGAGGGTTGGAACAATTAAATGAGAAAAGCAAGGGAAATTGCTTAGCATGCTGGCTAGTACATGGTAAGTGCTTAACCATTTCATTTCAGCTTTTTAACTAGATTTAATTTTAAAAGTGAAATTCACCTTAAATGTAAAAACCATCTCTACCCTCACTTCTGAGTGTCTACTAACACACTTGCCTAGGAGTCACTGGCAGAGAATGCTGGAAGGAAATAGAAGTTTGCAAAACCACCGCTTGCATTCTTGCATCTTTTCTTTGTTTTCACCTTTGTGAGATACAGGGATCTCAGGAGGAGAAACCGTTCCTGGTTCAAGCTCAAACTCTCCTTCCTAGGCCCTTTTTCTGGTGCCTCAGCCTGCTTTGCTGGCTTAGGGCTGACAATGCAAAGCCAATTCTTAACTTGTTTTCCAGAATCAGAGGAAAGTTTAACAAAACAAAATTTTATAGCTCCTGCCCAGTAACATATATTTTACTTTAAAAAAATATAAATACCCTTCCCTTATCATACATTATTCTTTTACACATACAATTTTCCTGACGTATTGAAGTAATATTCCACAGTTTGCTATGACTTGGAGGTTTATGGCCCTTCTGTGGCAGATCAGACTAAACATAATTCATTCATAGCTACTTAGTGCTCAGGGAAATAAACCTCTAAACTTAAGTAATTATGGTGTGACCTCTGTAAAATATCATTTATGGTTTTAAAACTATTATGTAGATACCAAGATGTGCCGAATGTTATAAACCAAACACAAGTTGGCAAATGGGACAACTGTATTCCATTTATTTTTGCTTTCCTTTCTGGATATTTCTCTACAAATGCTATTTTTGTTTAAATAGATTCTGGGGGTAATTATCTGGCAGAGGAAAACAATGTTCATTTACATTTTATTATGGAGTACTACAGTAAGTAAAAAAGTCTCCTATATAAAGAAGCATCACACACACACAAAATGTAAACATTCCATTAACTCACTACAGTTTAATAGGAAAGACATTGATTACCTTTGAGTATAAAGTAACTGTCCCCACTATCAATGGGCTAATGTAACCCATGTGTTATTCATTTTTGCAAATTAGTTCATGAAGGAAAACCTGATTGTGTATTTAAGTTCTTCAAATGGGGACTCTAAGCTTAGCATTTTCATGCCATTAAGAATAAGTGTGCATCCCCAGCACTACTAACTCTAAGATTTTCAAATCTGTAGGGTGTCATCTCCACATCTTGTTTGTTTCCTCAGTTATTTCCTATGCATTTGATTATATTGTAAGAAATAATATGTTCCGTGGTAGTAAAGTAATTAAATCATCGGTTTCCTAATAACCATTCAACAAATGTTTAAGGACCCACCACCATGTGCTGGTCACTCACCTTGGCACTGGCAATAATAAAGATGAATGAGAAAAACATTTCTCAGCCCCCAAAGAACTAATAGTCTCGATATGGAAATAGATAAGCAATAAGCAATTTCTAGGTAATACAATAAGTGCTCTGAGCAAGGAATAGGATAAGCACAAAGGGAAGACTAGGCTAAGCTCAGGAGGAGGCAAAGAGGGCTTGTGGAAGACTTCACAGAGGATGGAGGATGCATACACTGAACATAGTATAGAGGATGGATGGGGAGATTTGGGTGGTCAGATGAATGAGCGAGATCAGCATGGGCCAAGATATGAGGGGATGTTGGGTTCAGGCCTCTTCAAATAGTTCAATGTGGCTGGAATTTGGTGGGGCCCTGGAGGAAAAGGGGATGGACATTTAGGATGAGGCCAACCATGAAGGCCTTGTAGGCCCTGTGAGGCAATTGAGACTTCCTCCTATAGGCTGTGCATGGACATGAGAGATTTTAAGTTGAGGGTAACATGCTGAGATCTGTGGGCTAGCTCATTGTGGCTGGGATGTGGAGAATGGACTGGAGCCCAATTAAGAGGCTCCTCCAGCTTCCAATAAGAAATAACAAGGCCCCAGGCCAGGGCAGTGACAAAGGGAGACCTGATGAAAAGGGCATTTGGGATATAGAATCACATCCAATTTGGATGTGAAAAGAAACAAGGGGAGGAGTCAAGGAGGCCAGGGTGATTGAGAGGGACAGAGTCACTTTCAGCATCTGGGACTATTCTTGGAAGAATGGATAGGTTTGGAGGAGAGGTCGGTGAGGTTCATGCTGACCACATAGAGCTTATGCTACCTGTAGGATATTAAGGTGTGTCACAGAGACAGTTGGAAATGTTAGTTTGGAGAGAAGTTAGGATGGAGATAGAGATTGTGCCATTTATATATGCAATGTTTGATAATGTTGTTACAGAGTCAGGGAAGCTATGAGCTAATATATAAGCTCATTTGCCCCTCTACATAAAATTAAAGCAATACCATAATTCAGGTATTTGCAAATTATATTGATATAATAGATAACTCTTAACCCCTAAAGCCCAGCAGGACAAGAGTAAAAAGTATCATGCATTCTATCACTTCCTATGAATAGGAACTCTTGCCTCTCCCATTCTGGAATTTTTTTTTTTTAGCAAAAATGAGAAATGTCTTTTACTTATTAAAATCATAATAAGAATTATTCAAGTCTTCTGTTGAAAATACTCAAGTGGTCCATTTAAATGACTAACACTGCCACACCCATACGTTATACTTTTATTTTAGAATACTATTTACTTTTAGAGAGTTCTGACCCAAACTGAGCAAAATAGAAAGAAATATATTTCTACTTCGTCAATCTTGATGACTTTCTAAAAGCTCATGCATTTTGATGGATAAGATTAATGAGACCACATAGTGTTATTAAGCACGTTGGACTTTCAGAGCAAAGGCCTTTTAGAAGAACAAAGTATCATTATTAATGACATATCATTTACAGTTTTCATCAGTAATGTAAGGTTTCAGCCACTTTAATGGGAACTTTAATGCTCAATGTGGAGGGCAAGGCTATTAGTAAAGGTCTTGACAGTAATACCTTTTGCTTCTAAGGAAAAAGATAAATCACACTCACATTGATAAAAAAGACAAGCTGAGGGGTTCAGAAGGAGGTGAGCCACCATCCGCTGACTGAATTTCTCAAAAGCCTTGACATCAACGAGTCTGCTGGTGAGCTCTGCCCTCTGCGATGGGCTCCCTTCACCGCCAACCTCCGGCCTTCTGAACACCTTACTGGCCCAGCAAAATGCCTCATGCTCCAAACCTCATCTTTCCCTTCCCATCTCCTATCTTTCTACATCCCCAAACAGTTTATGTTGGGTTTCCTTGCCTCAGGATTTTTCTGTGTCTTATGGTAACCTGCTCAGCCACAAACATGAAATAAGGAAATACTGGTGTCAGGGAGGGACAAACTTTCCTCTCCCCTCAAGATTCTTCTGGCTGGTCTAATAATCAAATAGACATGAGGCAGATTAGCAAGAGAAAATAACCAAATTTAATACACACATATGTATGGGAACCCTGCATACATGAGAGGTTCAGAGAGATAAAGGGAATATGGGTTAATAAGACATTCTGAGCTAGGAATGAGGGAAGGTGCCTTGGGGGCTTCAAAGGGTTTTTGCAGGATGATAAGAAGAGCAGATGCTTAGTAAGTAGAAATTTGTCCTGCCCTATAGATAGGTCAAAAGAGGTGATCTCTGATAATCTCTTATTGTGGGCAAGGTCCTTAATTCAAACTCTTCTAGGTAGTTAAGGGAGGGGCAGCAGTTTCTCTTGAGCCCTAGGCTAACGTTGCCTTGAGCTCATAACAATCTGCATACCCAGAGGCACATCTTTGGGTGACTCGTTTTGAACCCCATACTGGCTTGCTGCGATGACCTTATTTACACAAGTACCTCAAATGGCAGGACTCATAACCAGGTGGCAGACCAGCAGGGAAATATATTTTCCTGAATATACATTGTTAGTCTTATCAGGGCAATTATGGGGGAATGGCTGTATATACAGTAAACACTGTTAGCATTTTTTTGCAAGTTCTTTACACAAAGTGCTGCTCTCAGGTAAGATCTCTTTAGGACCTTAATGTGTTTCAGTCAGATTCACTAAGGCCTTCTTATAATGACACTTTAAATACTACTCTGTTCTTGTTAGAGGGGAATTAAAAGAAATTCTCCTGGGGAAAAAATTGAAGTTAAAATTTTAAAAAAAAAAATTTGTCATCTAAACTCAGTCAGCTATGCTTTAGGTACAAGGAGGGGCGGGGGGGAATCTGGATGCCAAGAAATACCCAATAAAAATAAAGGAAGAGGGAACTTGCTATTATTACAGTAACTGATGACGTATACCCAAGGGCATATAAGGAATTGATTACATTGCAGCTCTACCAGTAACTTTTTGAAAGATTGTTGAGATCACCAATGACAGGAAGAGAGCAACGCACTTAATGTGAGGTAGAAAAGGCTGTGGTTATATATTGTGACGTGATATTTGTTACTAGAGGAAATTCCAGGCTATTATTCTGTCTGTGATTTTTAACAATTGCAGTCAGTAAATTATTTATTTAGTCGATTTGTTTCTGGACATACCAGGAAAATCTTACTTGCTATATTATCCTGTATGGGGAGTGCCCACCAACTACATTAGTGTCTCTTTTTGTTTGTGGCTTATTTTATCAAGGTAGATCAAAGCACATTTTGAATCCAATTGTTGGGGTTCACCTTTTTCTCTCTCGTCCCAGAAGACACAGCTTAAGTCAGGCAGCATCTACTGGATGACAAAATTCAAGCCCAGCTAGAATGCTGAGATATCATCACAGAAGAATGTTTCACATTTTTGTTTTTAAAATTTCTGAGTCTTTGTAGTCCAAAATACCAGACAAATAATTGCAATTCAGGATTTGAATAAAATGCAGAAATAGAGAAGTAAGACTGCTACAATCACATTCTTTAGTAACTTTTAATAGTACATATTTTTTAAAAAATTGACATTTTACCATATTCAAGCAATAGTTGAATATCGTCTAATTCACACATTTGATCGAAGTTCAAATTTTTTAGGAAGTTAGCAATGAAAGGTTGAGATCACTTGGAGCCTTATTCTAAAAGATGATTTTCTTGCTGCAATATAAATTTGCTACTAACAAATGAGCAAAGAGGTTGGTACTGTTTGTGCCTTTAAGATCACAGTTCAAAAGAATTAAATGCGATAACAAAGGTAAAACAAACATAACCTTTATTCTCTTTCAAACACCCAGAGAATAAGGCCTGGAACTTTACTCACTGATTTAATCAGCATATCTTAACTTTTGTAGTCTCACTTAAAATTTTATAGTAATAGACTGAATATTGTACAAATGACAACAAAATACATGGTTACTCTCAACTACATAGTAAAAAAAAGTAATAAATTCTCTTATGTAGCGTAAAGGAGGGCTAGGCTAGTGAGCTGCTCAATCATTCACAATAAATAAAAATTACTCTATATACATATAATGATAGTCTAAAATCACAATATGCAATCTGATAATAAAATTGTGTCACCTTCAGGAGTTGGGAAGCCCATACTCTGGAACCGCTAAAATATTTAGTTTATGTAAATAGTGGAACAGAATCTCTTAAATTACAACATTCCAGAAGATAGATCAGATATAATGAACATGTGTGCTGTCCATCAATCATTAATTTTCAAAGAACTAGAGTAGACTAAAATAAATGTAAATTACTCAATACAATTCAGTATTTCTTTGATTATTAAAAAAAAAAATAGTTCAGGGTCTTGCACTGCTTTACACTCCTGAGCAAAATACAGTAGTAACTAGAAAGTAGCTGTAATAGATAGACAGCAGGTACTGGAGAATTCTGTCTGATAGAATACCATATAACTATTTGCTTTCAGCAAATCACCGGGTTAAAATGATGTCATTAAGGATTTTATTTAAAAGTTCCTTAGCCTTAAAAAAAAGTTTAAAAAAAAATTCAATTACTTCTTAGAATAACTTTGTATATATTAGAATGATGTTAGAGTTCAACATTATCTCAAATGTTCAAATGATTCTTAAGTTCTTCTTTACATATAAGACTATATTCCTTAGCATTCATTTAAACATAGTTACTACTAGAAACAAACATGCTTCATTTGAGAACACAGATTAAAAAGCTTTTTCTTAGACTTAAGAAAAAGGTATGAATGTAGCCCTTTCTCTCTAAGCATAAAAAAGAATTTAGATGACCAAGAGGACTAGGTCAGGAGTCAGGAGGCAGGTATGCCTTAGGGAAATCACTTTCACTCTAAGATCCCTTCTCACTATCTAATTCGAGGGCTAACACATTCCCTCCCATGTTCAAGGCACAGCATGCTAGACCAAACCTGCTACATTAATTGTCACTGACTCTGGGAACAAACGACTACCTGAAAAACTGGACTGAGGTGATTGCTTCAGGTCCAACCTCAGACACACGAGGAAACGGGAAAATCCAGCATTCTACTTGGTCACTGGTTCAGGGTAGTGATTCCCAAATTTGAGGGAATACAGGAGGAAATCTCCAGAGGGCTTGTTAAAACGCAGCTTCAAGGGTCTCAGCCCAGCCTTACTGTGTCAGAATCTCTGGGGATGGTGCCTCCTAGTCTATCTATATTTTAAACAAGAATGTTCTGCCTCACCCCTCCATACCTCTGCAGGTTATCTGTGGGCTCCACTTTCTACCCCACCCCCACCCCCCCAAAAAAGAAAACTAAAATATTCTGTAGTGGTAAAAGCTCTAGAGTCATAGTCAGAAGCCAATGATTAGTTGCCTGGTGTTGAATGAGTTGTTTACTATCTCTAGGTCTCAGTCTCTTCATCAGATAGGAGTTCAACAGGGGTCTCTACTGCCCCTTCCAGTTCTCAAATGCTAAGGACTTGAATAATCTAACAGGTCAACTAGGTAAGTCATGAAGGAGGTGGGGAGCATTTGCAAGGCTGTCTCACTCTGCAGTCCAAGCACCCCAGCAAGAGTCTGGTAGCCCCCAGTGGGGTGACAATCCTCTCTCTGGTCCCCTCCTCCACAACAGGAGGGAAAGAGAGGTGAGGCTGGAATTGGGTGAGGGGCGAGAGAGAGAAGAAGCCCGAGTAGCTTGTAAGAGCGTTTTGGCATGGAGGAAGGATGCCTGGAAAGCGGGAGTCACTCCTGGTCCTCGTCCTCGTCGTTCTGGTCCTGGTAGCGAATGTAGACCACAAGCATGACAAAGCCCGTGAGGATGCAGAGGGAGCCGACGACCAGGTAGGCGATGCCCAGGAAGGGGTTCTTGCCGCCCATCCACGAGATGCTGCTTAAGATAATGCGCTTGTGGCCGCCGAAGACGCGCACCGGGTAGTTGTAGGTGATGTTGACCCGGTAGGCGCCGCGCGGCAGCCCGGTGGAGTAGTTGCCCTGGCGGATGCGCGCGTACAGCTTGCGGAACGTGGGCAGCGCCGCCGTGCGCATCCACACCACGAAGTCCTGGTTGATGAAGCCGGTGTTGTTGGGGTCCGTGCTGAGCTTGTAGACCGGCTGGTGCCAGTTGGGCGGTTTCGCGGTGCCTTTGAAGGCCAAGGCCAGGCTGCCATTCACCAGCGGCGGGTTGTGGAATTTGACGTGGTAGTCGGTCCACCAGGCGATGCCGGTGCGGTCGAGCGGCACCTCGACGTAAGGCCCGCCGGCCCCGCGCTGGTGCCACAGCGTGAAGGTGTCGTTGAAAAGGCTGTTGGCGATGGCGCCGCAGGGCGCGATGGGCACGCCGGCCGCGCTGTACTGGTAGGGGGCGCACTCGTTGACCGGGTGGCGCAGCGAGCCGGGCAGCCCGCTGAGCTGGCTGTCGTCGCGGGACACGCCGTAGCGCCGGTTGTTCTGGTAAAAGTTGGTGAGCTCGTAGTAGACGTACACGGGGCCCTGGAAGAGCTCCGGCAGCGAGAAGTGCCAGGCGCACGAGCAGCTGCGCGGCGGCGCGCGGTCCTGGTCCGCAGCGGCGCACAGCGAGCAGCCGCCGGTGCCGGGGTCGCCGGTGTAGTCGTACTCAAGCTCCTTGATGCCATTGGAGGAGTAATAGAGGCCCAGGCCCAGGCCGATGAAGGCGAGGCCCGCGCAGAAGAAGAGCGGCAGCGTGATGCCGGCCGACAGCAGCGGCTGCCAGGCTGGGAGGCGCTGCTGAGTGAACGCGGTGTTGTCGGGCTGGTGGGCGCCCCGGGCCGTGGCACTCCAGGTCATGGCTGCCGCGCCGGGACGGACGGACGGAGGGTGGCTCAGGTGGGGCCAGCCGGGAGCACCTCGCTTCGCGCGCTGGGCGAGTCCCGGGGCTACTCTCGGGCCCGGTTTCCGCGGGCTCAGGTGAGTGTTGGTCCTGGCCCTGTCTCCGGCCCCGCATAGGTGAGTCCGAGATCCAGGTTCTACGACCAGACCCCACAGTTCCGCCTGGGCCGAGGTGATCCGGGCCGGCTCCGCCCCTGTTTGTAATCGGGAGCCTTGCCCAGCCTCCGGAGGTGAGCTAGGCGGGCGTTCCTTTCCACACCTGGTGGACCCAAGGCTCGCGTTTCCTTTCAGTCTGGGTGGGTCTGGACACCAGCTCCTCCTCCTCGAGGTGAGTGGCGGCCCGAGGCTGCCTCTGAGTGGCTCATACCTTGCTCAGGTACCACCTTCTCTTCCTCCTTCCAAGTGACTAGAGTGCCTGGGCCAGTCTTTCCCTGCAGCCTTCAGCACAGAGTTCCACTGAGGGATTGCACCGTGGGTCCTGGAGACCTGAAGATTTCAGGTTATTAATCCTATTTTATCTGGGGGAAAAAAGCGACTAGACCCTCTTGCCTTTGTAGGTTAACTTATGGACCCCCGTTCAGTCAATTTTCAGCCACAAATTGTAATGCCCCGAGGGGGGGAATACACTATGGTAAATCTGTTTCAAATTGAATGCCTACGTTCAAATTCTACCATATTTTTTGAAGGAAAAATGGTTTTCTGGCCAGGGGCCCCAATCTGTCTGTATAACTAAAAAAATTGGCAAGGTCTCTAAAAATAAAATGCCTTAAAAAAGAGAATTAGACTGCAAGAGGTTCAAAGCCTTTATATTATATATCTCTAGGTGGTGGAGAAACCAAACCACAGAAGGAGGAAAATGTGCTGGATTATATGTGATTCCTTTTTCTTTGTATTTGCCTGGTTATTTGCAGAAAGGCCTGATCCAGGGTCCCAAAAGATCTAGGTGCTGTCCACAATAAGGACTTTGGCAATGTTTAGCCTAAGGAGGTGAACTACAAGGATTTATAGAACTTATTGTACATTAGCTCTGAACATTGCTTGAGATTCTGGCTTTTCTATCTAGGTTTGTACAATATACACAAGGGGGTGTTGGGCCGTTTCAACTTTGTGCTAAATCCTCCCTAAGTACTGAGGTGTTCTTGCCTCTCCTGCAGCTCATAAAATGCAAATAAGTATTTTCTATATTACGCTTCTGTGCCCAGAGTAATATGTTGTATTCAGGAGTCACTCAAATCTCCTTGAAACTTGGAAAGTTAAAATACTTGCTAAATTAAACAGCAGGAATTTTTTAAAGCGTCTTCTAAGAGTTGAGCCCTGTGCTAAGCTGCTAAGCAATATAGAAGAAAGAAGAGAATAAGACTAAAAACAGCCCTTGACCTCAACACACTTGCAGTCTGATAGGAGTAAGAAAGAATCAAAATAGCCAATAGACAGCATGTAATCAAGTACCAAATTGTACTTTACAAGAAAGATACTAAAATTAAAAAGTAACACTATTTTAATAATGAAAAATTCATTCCATCACATTGAGTGGAATGAATGCAGTTTGGATGATTTAACTATTAGAAACGCCTGAGGGGAGACCCAGATGATTTGAATTCTACTTCCCTCACTTCTAATCATACCCCAAGAGAGGAAATGCCAATAAGTTCCTATATAGCATGATCCGGTCTCCACTACACCTTTTTTCAATAAGATAAAAGAATAAACAGCTCTCTGTATTATTTTGGTTGAGCTCCACCCACCACAAATCACTGAATCATTAGCTTGATAAAGTGTCCACAGAACTAGTCTGGAGGAAGGAATTCAGTTCTCAAAACTTAACCTAGTAAGTCTTAAGTCTACCAACTGCCACTCCACACAACTCTCTTAAAAGTGCAATTTCTCTTGAACTGAGAGCCTTTCCAGCTCTCCCCTCCCTGGATGATCTGAAGTTTATCCATCCTGCTAAGTAAGATAATCAGAGTGTCCCAAAAGCCAAAAAAAAAGAGAGAATATTTCAAGACAGGGAATGGTCAACAGGGTGAAACAGCAGGGGATTCAAGTGAGTTAAGAAATGAAAAGGAGCATTGCATTTGACTTCTGTGGGGACATTTTGGGGGGAGGGGAAGGAGTCAGGCTCTCTCAGGTGAGGGAGAGGGGAAGTGGAGAAGCCAAGGTATGATACCTCTTTTTAGAAATGTGTGAGAAGGGAAGGAGAAAGGCAAGTAGAAATCATTTAGAACAGTATGTATCCTAAAGGAAAGACTTCCTTATAGATGGCAGACAAGGGAAGATGATACTAGTTCAGGCGAGGATAAAGATAGGTGTGGCACATTCATGGATGGTACAAAGGTAGGAGCAGGGAAAAGACGCTGGGTCCGGAGAACAGGTGCAGAGTCACTTCACCTCTGAAATCGGAGGGCAGGTTGGATGCAGAATGCACCTGTGCTTTGGGCTCCGCTCAAGGAGAGAACGTTTTCATTTAGGAATTTCTGTGTGGTAAAAAGAATTGGGGGAGGGGGCGGAGGGGAAAGCGTGAGATGTAGGGAAGACTTCGAGGAGAGGGAGGAAGAACTGGCCAGAGACACGTGAAAGGATGTTGGGTGGCTTTGTCTAGGGGATTCCTGCAATCCAAGCTGTGAGATGGCAAACGATTGTGTCCAACAGACAGGGTTTTCCGGGCAGGTAAATTGGAAAGATAAAGGTTTGAGATGCTGCCGTTCTTGTGGAGGAGGTGACTAAAGTTAGGCCTTAGAATTTAAGTAGAAAGGCAAGGAAAATGAAACCAGACTGGTGAATGAAAAGAAAACAGGGACCAGTAGACTGGCAGTGCTAATTATGTTAAGGAACAGGTGGCATGAAAGCTGGGAGGGAAAAAGCGCTGGTATGAGGTGAGATGTTAAAGAGTTTGGAAGTGGAGCAATGCCAAGATCCATGTGTATGTCATATTTCCTCTACCAGCTCATAAGTTTTGAAGGTCAAGGACTGATATACATCGTTGTATCCCTCAGAGGGTTCATTGTATAACAAGGGTTCTGACTTTGTGTTTTTCATTTGATTATACATGTTATCATGATGCATTCAAGGTCACCTGGGTCATTTAAAGTCTTCTCAGTACCAATAAACAAAGGAGTTCATTCTAAACAATTCTTTATTGCATCTCTTTTTTTTTTAAAAGATTTTTATTGGGGAATTGGGGGGATGGGAACAATGCTGGGGAATTGGGGGAAGGGGAACAGACAAGTTGCTATCATTTTATTCTTCAGTCTAGTTGTGGAGGACGTTGCTTCACTGGCCCAAGTTGGCACCATCATTGCGCTCTTCTCTGGCGAGGCAGATCAGTCGCCGGCTTCTGGACGGCCGCTCACTGCGGCTGCTGGCCGCTCACGCTGGCTGCTGGCCACACACGGTAGCCCATGGCAATCCACTGCCACAGGGACTGCAGCCCACGCCGTCGCCGGCGACTCATGGCAGCCGAGCTCCAGGTTGAGCTGTTGTTCAGCATCTTAGCTGTAGAGGGCAGTGTCACTGGCCCTCATATGTGGGATCCGAACCGGGGCCCTCTGGCATCCCAAGCGAGTTCTTAACCATCGTGCCACTCGGCCGGCCCTGCATCTCTTTATTATAAAGAAAACGCAGAGTGAAAGAAAAGGGCATTCCCAATCCCAGTATTCCCAAGATGACTTCATTTTTCTATTTTACCTTTTGGATTTTATCCATATAAATATATAATTTTTAATTGGTTGTATGATAAAAATACAATTGTTATCATTCTACTTGTTAAATTACCTCCTTTTGGAATGAGATGAAAAATAAAATATTTTCCATATTTCTTTGTGGTTTTATAGTTTTTTAATGGTTCCAAAATTCATGGATCTACCATATTTAACTACCCCCCATTATTGGACATATAAATTATTTCCAGTTTTTTGGTATTCCAAAGAATATAGTAGTGGGCATCTTTTTGCATGTAACCTTTTATATTACAGTTGATCCTTGAATAACACAGGGGTTGGGGGTGCTGACCCCCACATAGTAAAAAAATCTATGTATAACTTTTGACTCTCCAAAAACTTAACTACTAATAGTGTACTTTTGACCAGAAGCCTTACTGATAACATAGTCAGTTGATTAACACTTATTTTGTATGTTATATGTATTATATACTGTATAATATAGAGAAAAAATGTTATTAAGAAAATCATAAGGAAGAAAAAATACATTTACAGTACTGTATTTATTGATATCGTAATTGTATACCATCTGTTTACAAAATGAATTGTCTGTCAGTAACCTACATCAATATTGTCTTGTATGATACAAAACACTGTGTATGTTATACATATTACTAATGCTAGACATCAAATATGAAAAGATAATGTGAGAAAGAAATTCTATTTATTTACAGGTATAACGATCCATGCATTGATAATGAAGAAGCAGCAATAGCATTGCTTTGGGTAGCCTCGTATAATGGATATGATTGCTTTATGGTAATAAGGAAATCTCCAAAACATTTTCCAATATATTGAAAAAAATCCACGAATAAATGGACCCACTCAGTTTAAACTGTCTTGTTCAAGGGTTAGCCATATTTCCTTAGGGTGAATTTCTAAAAGTAGGAAAGGGGCTTAAAGGTCAAACTTTTTAGATGCATACTGCTAGAGTCTTTGACACGGCCACAACGATATATACTTTTACTACATTTGCCAAAACTTTGCCAACAAAATTAGTTGTTAACCACAGAATATATTTAGCGTAGGCTAATAAACTATGAGATATTGGGAGGAGCAGTATAGGATAGGGGAGAGAATGCGGCCTGACATTAAGGAAGTCCAAGTTGTACTCTAGAGTTCGTCAGGATATAATTGTGACCTTGATCAAATTGTTTAACTTCTCTGGTCTGATTGCTTATCTGTATGAGCATGTTTGCCAAAATGATAGTGAATATCTCTTTCAGTGCAAAGATTTCTGTACCTAGTCATCTCAAGAGGTCTTCCTTACACTGACTCATTGAATGAATAGTTAGCATTCATTGAGCACCTACTCTGGGCCACTCTGTAAGTACTTTATATACATTACCTCATCTAATTCACACCAAAAACCTTGGTGGTAGGTACTCTTATCATTCCCATTGAGTTGATACAGAGCTAAGATTTAGGCTAAGGAAATGGAGGCTAGCCAAGTTCTCAGAGAGGTAAGCGGGAGATCAGGGAGTCTAAAGTCAGCTTAATGCCAGCGTCCTGCAGTTTTAATCACTATACTATAATGCCTGGGCATAGTTACTTTTAACCCAAAGGACTTG